GAGTACCGGTACACCTTTGTGTCCTCTGTGAGGCAGTTTCACACCTCAGTCTCAGAGGCCTACAGGCCTGATGAGGTCCAGATGAGGTCCATGCTTGACATGGTGACACATGTGGAGGTGTGGACTCGAGGTGCTTAATCAAACTACCACAGGTTTTCTTAGAGTCGCTCACAGAAATTATCACATTTTAGTTTTTCTGTGATTAAAAATCACACGTGCACACAGATTTCACTTCATATGCAAACCAACAACATAGAGTTGCCTTCAGGTATGAGGGCCCAGGTCTCTATTGCAAGAGAGATCTGTGATCTCAATCAGATGGATAAATAAAGGTTAATAAATACAATAATGAATATTTTTCAGGTTTGTTTTTAAAAATGTTTACTCCTTCTTTCTTGTATATTCAGCTTGTTGGAGAAATAAAAAAACAAGTGTCTTGTGTGCTAAAATTGTAATATTTAAAAAAGGAAATATTCTAAATTATCACAAAATTCTTCATTCTTTTTAAATGTTTTGACACTGATGAAAATAATAAGTTTATGTTATCAAAGCTTTGCTTGAAGTTTTTAATTTTCAAACAAAACCATCAAAACATACCTATGGTCCAGCTTCAGGATCTGTTACAGATTCCTTAGAGTTTCAGTCATCCAATCACATGAAGGGTCTGAGCATGTTTGCATGAACAGTATGTTTCAAGGTCAGGATGTAGCAAAGCACAGGAAAGGCAAATTTCTGACAGGAAGTGCCACTGCTGGCAACAGCTGGATGAAGCCATATGTTGCGCAGAGATTGGACAGATGTGATCGTGTGTTGGCGTTTTGGGACAATTTCCTTGGGACTTACTAAAACATCTGTGGCACACCTTTGTTAAAATACAACAGGGATAAAGATAACAGCTTGTGTCGGGGTGTTGGTTTAGTTACTGCTCACTTTATGTTCCTGCTCTGTGGGTTGTGGATTTTTGTATTTCTTTTAATCCCTTTTTTACTCTGTAACAGTTTGAGAAAAAAAACCTCAAACTGTTGTTGAATCAACAGATTTTCCTCTTTTAGTTCAGTTTTTGGTGTTGATGAGCAGCTCAGGCAGCCAGCTGTCATTCAGTCAGGGGTCATTTTCTTCCCGGGGTCATGAACCTCGAGGTAAAACATGTATTTTTTGTACTGAGTATTTAGACATGCTGATCAGAGTAAACTAAATAGGAAACTGAAGAATTAATTAAAACAGATTTTAAAATTGGAGTTCATCAATTTTTCAAGGACATTTTACTGATTAGTAGTGGGGGAAAATTGAATGTTTTCTTATTAAAACTATTTTTATCAGGATGTTTAATCAGTGAAATGAATCCTATGATAAAATGCAATTTGACACACTAAATGATTAAACATGGAAGCTGAAAAGATCTGACCCGATTCATCAAATTAGCTTTTATTTATTAAAATATTTCTCATGAATGTTAAATGAGTCAGTTGAAGAGCAAGACTGTGGAAATATGTGCCTGGAGTTAGAAAAAGTCTGACTTTGGGTCATTTAAATCAATAAAATGCATGTTTTTTTAAGTGTCATAAAATCTTGCTGTGAGTATTTTTGTTTTATTTGTACAGCTTGGGGAAACTGGTTCCCACCAAAACATTGCAGGGGTGCATTTCATTCATGGCTCTAAATGCACCGCAAAATTACACTATCTCCCCAAACAATACAAAACCTTTTTTTGGCACAAACCACAGACCACGCTGAGCGGTTTTTATTGGAACAGCTTTCTGCTGAAGAGAAAATCTCAGTGAAAAGAATCTGCAGTGAATGCTCAAAATCTACATTTTAAAGTTTTCAAATTACAAATTATAGAACTTTAACGTTTATTTATTTCAAAATAATCCTGCATAAATATTTTAATTTGTACATTTGTAGAATGAGTTCTTACTTTTGTATTAGGA